CATTGGTGTAGGAAACTGCCTGAGTGGACTCTTCCTCCACTAATGCAGGTCAGCAACTCATTTTGTGGTCCTGAGAGATTAAGTGACTTGTGGGGACATCTCACATCTTGTCTATGTCGGTAGCAGGATGTGACTACAAGACTTCTGGGCTCTGTCAGCCCTCTATTCACTATATTGTGCTACCTCTCAATGGATGTTGCTCTGTGATATTTTATGTTAAGTGGATATAACTTTTGTTCTGCACCCCGCATAGTGATAATTACAGTCTTCTTTAGCACCTGAAAATGTCTTTTTCTTCCAATGGATTTTAGTAATATGCCCTACTGACCTCTCCTGAGAAACTCAAAGTCTTTCCCATTCATTACTAGACTGACCAGCTCTCTTTTCCTCATCTATGACACTCCATTTCCTGTCTTCCTCTGGCTATTCCCCAGGCTTGGAATGTACTCTCTCTTTACTTTAGCCTTGTGAATATAGCCTAGGTGGTGCAGTAGATAGAGCACTGGGCCAAGACCTGAGCTCAAATTTAGCCTGAGACAGTAGTGGTGCGACCCTGGGCAAGTCACTTAACCTCAGTTTCCTCTGTAAAATAGGGATAATAATAGCACCGATTGCCTAGGGTTATTATGGGAATCAAATGAGAGAATAGTTATAAAGTGCTTTGCTGAGTGTCTGGCACACGGTAGGAGCTAGGTGGTAGAGTAGATAGAGTGTTGGGCCTAGAGCCAGGAAGATCCATCTTCTTGAGTTCAGATCTAGTCTCAGGCACTTACTAACTGTGTGACCTAAGGCAATTCATTCAACCTGGTTTGCCTCAGTTTCCTCATATGTAAAATGAGCTGGAAGAGGAAATGGCAAATTACTCTACTGTCTTTGTTATAGAAAACCCCAGATGGGGTCATGAAGAATTGGACATGACTGAAAAAAGTGGCTAAACTGAAAGTACTATGTGAAAGTACTAATTATTATTGTTAAATCCCTCTAATCCATTAAGAGGCAGTATAAGCGTCATCTTCATTTATCCCTAATCTGCCAGTGCCCTCCCTCCCAAACTACCTTGTGTTTAACCACTTTGCATGTATTTGTATATGTTCACTTTATGCTGCATATTTCATATTGTCTCCCCCCATTAGGATGTAAGTTTACTGAGTATAGGGATTATTTTATTCTTTGCACCTCATGTCCGGTTCCTAGCTCAGTGCCTGACACATAGTAGACACTTAATAAATGCTTGCTTATTGATTGAGGTTGCACAACAGACCTTTGAATGTGCCCCAGCATAAACTTGGGGATGCTAAAGATCTCTCTAGTATGTACTCCAATAAATTGTGGCTGTGTTGGGCATTCCTCCCAGCCTGTTGTGTGTATTGCTGTGAGGACATGCAATCCCCCAGCACTCTAGGCTCTCAGAACTTCTGAGGATTCTGGCCTATATTATGGCATGCCCTGGACCATAGTTGCTTTTGGAGCATATCTAAGGTCTGGTCCTAATCTAGAGACTTGGCCACGTCAGGGTTGTGGGAGCAGTTTCAGAGCTGTCTAAGAATTCTCGTCAGGGCAGGAAGGCCCTGGAACCATTCCATATCCCAGAGAATTCCTCTGGGATTTGGGGGCTAACTGTAGGCCACAATGGGAAATGTAGGACTTCTGAGCTTGCTTTTAGTTCATAAACAAATCTCCACAATGGTCTTGTCTTTTGTCCAGCTACTGTCTAAGACTACCCAGGGAGTAGAGGAATCAGTTAGAGAGAGCTTGCAAAAAGCCCAAAACAGCATAATATGGTGGAAAGATTGCTGGAGGCCTAGCTTCAGATCTCAGTTCTGACATTAACTAGCTGTGTGACTGTGGGCAAGATACTCTAAGCCTCAATTTCCTTATCTATCAAATGGGGTAACAAACCTTGAATACCTCCCTGGCAGGATTGTTAAATAGAGCATGCTTTATGAGTCTTAAAATGCTATGAATATTTATCTCTCTGAGATGATTATTGACACGGGCACTTTGGTTATGTGGCAAATTACAGTTTGGTCAGTTCTTGACCCTTTGGAGGTGTCAGGAAAGACCATTAAACTGTTCTAGTTCTTTCTATAATTTTCTTGATAAGTAAATAAATGTGAGATAACAATAATGGAATTGTAATGGGAATCTTGGGGTTGGAAAGCCAAACTTAGACCCAAATATAGCCTTTACTTGAACACTTACAATGATTGAGAATTCACTATTTCAAAAGGCACCCGCTTCCATCTATCAGAAGCTCTTATAACCGGAAAGTTCTTTCTGTTTTTGAATCAGAATTTGTCACTAACTGTTGGTCTAATTATTTCAATTTCCTAGCTACAAAAGAGTCGGTTTTTTGGTGTCCAGAGTGATGTAGCATGGCATGGGAGAAGAGCCCTCGGTCTGGAGACAAAAGACTTGGGTTCTAGTCTGGGCCACTCTACCTGCTGCTACTCATTTGACTTTAAGCAAGTTATTTGATCACCTTGGCCTCCGTTTCCACATCTGTGAAGTGAGGGAGTTAAATTAGAGGACTTCTGGTATCTCTTCCAACTAGAAATCTATGAAGCTAGTCAGTGGAAAAGCTAGATTGTCTGGTTGTTGATTTACATTCATGATTTATTTTACTGTGATGATAATAATAAAAACAACAGCCAACATTTATGTAACACATTGAGGTTTAAAAGCACTTTATTAATATCCTGAGGCTAAGTGATTTTTTTTTCCTAAAGAAAGACAATGATTAATTAATAATATACACAGATAAGCAATATCCCAGGGCAGCTAGGTGGTGCAGTGGATATAACACTGGCTTGGAATTAGGAAGACTCATCTTCATGAGCTCATATCTGGCCTCAGACACTTACTAGCTGTGTGACCCTTAACCCTGTTCGCCTCAGTTCCTCACTTATAAACTGAGTTAGAGAAAAAAATGGCAAATCATTCCAGTATCTTTACCCAAATGGGGCCACACAGAGTCAGATATGACTGAAACGACTTTACAACAACATATGATGTCCAAGCTAGTATTTTTTCAGTCTAGAGTTGGAATAGAGATCAGTTTTTCATGTGTATATATATAATATATATATAAATATATATATATATATATATATACACACACACATATATATACACACATATACATATACATACATATACACATATATATACTATATACACATACACATACACATACATATATACATATACATATATACATATATACACACACACATATATATATGTGTATATATATATATATATATAATATATATATATAATATATTTGTTGTTGTTTAGTCATTTCAGTCACATTTGACTCTTCATGACCCTATGACATCTAGCTATCCATATGATGTGTGTGTGTGTGTGTGTGTGTGTGTGTATATATATATATATACACATATATATGTATATATGTATATGTATATACACACATATGTATATGTATATTTTGTATATTATCATCCTACATTTATATTCAGAGGTGTGCTGGCAAATATTTAACAGTGGACTCCAATAAAATATATGCTTCCTGTACTTTTGAGTTTAATCTTCTTTATTAACATTTTCTCCATCACTCTCTTAAGTCTGGACAATCAACAAAACAATGAATCAAGCCCTAATTTGCAGTGTTTGCCAATTGCTGAGGTACAACTGGTCACAATGAAAATTTAACGGTTGGCTTTTGAGAGACAATATGAGCTAGCTCCAGCACACTCCTATTTATCTCTCTATATAATTTATAGCTATTTTATTCAGGATGTTCCGAAAGTCTTAGTTCAGTTTGAAGCTTTAATAGCTTAGTGAAGTTTAAGACTTTTGGGATATGCTGCATATCTCTATCTAAACTTCCTATGTCTATATTTGGGTGTCTGCAGACAAAGAAACACATTTGTATGTAACAAGTAAAATATAAAATACCAACTACCTTCAGAAAAATGAGTCAAAACTCCTTGGCTCCTGTGACCTAAGTCCTTTTCTGTAGGAAAATGGTTTGTGTTGGTACAATATGTCTTCTTAGTAAAGACTTATCATGTTTTATAAAAACACTATTGCTAAAATGGCTGCTTTACCAATCTATCCAATTGCAAGGGAAGGGAAAGCAGTGAGCATTTAGATAGCACCTACTATGTGCCAGGTACTGTGCTAAGCACTTTTTACAAATATTATCTCATTTTATATTCATAAAAAAGCCTGGAAAGTAGGTCCTATTATTATTCCCTTTTTACAGTTGAGGAAACAAAGGCAGACAGAAGTTAAATTACTTGCCCACAGTCATACATTTAATGTCTGAGGCTGAATTTGAACTCAGGTCTTCCTGACTTTAGATCTATTGCTTCTTGAGCCACTAGTGTATTTCGAATTTCAATAAAACGAAATATTGATTTAAAGATAATTCCAACTGCAACTTTGAATATCTTAAGAAACTGCTCAAAGGTCAGACATATACGATATCTAGTCCTAAGTAACTGTGAGAATTAGAATTGGCTTCATTTTGTTTGCTCAGTTGTAGGTGATATCCTAGAAAGAACCCATACCCTACGCTGGAGATTGGATGAGCTGATATCTAAATTCCTTTTAATTGCTACGATTCTTCTATGAGTTGTTATGTTTAGACGGTGAAGTTATAACCGTGAAGAAGTCAGCTTGTTGGGTTTTAAATTTTTTTTGGTAGTCTGGCATTAGGATTTAAAAAAAATTCCTCTATAGAAAACACTGAAATAATGTTCACTGAACTGAAGAAATACTTGATGGTGATTTTTTAGAATAGACATTTCTTTCTCGTTAATTTTTTAAAAATGTGAATTATAACATCCAAATGAAACACAAGCTTTAAAAGTGCAATTTAAACTTTTTTATCGGCACATTTATATTTTTATAGATTCTCCTTAATATCTACAAGAACCTAACATTTCCATGTAACCATCCTGTACAAAAAAGAAGTAATTAAGATGTAAGGAGCAAGTTGTAATTAGTGGGGGACAAGGAACACTTACCATTAAAATGACCAGAGCTCCCGCAGTTCTTAAAGCAAGCCAGCCCATGGCTTCTGATTTCTCCCGCAAACAAATCCCAGTGAGCGGCTGTTTTGGTCCTAGTCTACTGAACTTTTTGAAATGGAAACTTGGAGAAGCTGGATCTCAGCGGTGTGTCTGCTCCGTTCTCTTGGAGTGTACACATGCAGCTGTTATGTGATTCTCCACCCTAAAACCTTGGGTTGGTCTCACCTGAAAGACTTGCATCATTTTTGCTTCCAGGTAAAACCTTAGACACACCTCATTTCTTGTGAATTGAATCCTTTGATGGAAGCTGAAAAGAAATTTCACAGGGCTGTAGACAAAGTGTAATAGGAAGATGCCAGATGAATAATAAATTCATCACGTGGAAATGAAAAAGCCACCCTTGATCACAATGAGAAAGAAGATGCCAAGTTTTTCCTTTTGGTTAGACTTTTAAAATTAAAAAAAAAAGACTATGTTTCTATTTAAAATGTGGACATACATACAGTATAAGAACATGTAGGGGCAAAAAGTTATACAAGATAAAAGTTTCTGGAAAAAAAGTTTAAAAAATATTCAAGGAACCAGAAGAATATATCAGCTTAAATGGTTGGGATGAGCTCAGGTCTTGGAGTCAGGAGATCTGAGTGAATCCTATTATGGCATTTACTAATTCAGTGACGACCCCTCTGAGTCAGAGTTTTCTTATCTACAAAATAGAGAAAACAGTATCTGTAGTTACATACCTCTGGGGATTATTGGGAAAACCAAATGAGATAATATATGTAAAGATCTTTGCAAATTTTAAAGCTCTATATCTATAAACTAGTATCATTATTGTATAATTGAATGGTCATGTTTCAGATTTTTTACATTGATTTTATTACATTAGTAAATTATCAGACATAAAATTGAAATAGAAACTCATGTTCTACCTTGGAAACTTTGGCATTATAAATGAATTAACCAAGTAATTGATGCCTGCAGTTTTTCTAGCTACAAAGAAGCTATTTAATCACAAACTCTTAGGACTGGAAGGGTTTCTCTAGTCTACCATTTGACCTAAATCTCCTTTGCTACTTGCCTTTTTTTCCTTTTCAGGCTGTACACATCTTCCTCTTTTCAGCTCTGGTGCTCAGAACAGGAGACAATACTTTTGGGAGAAGGATCTGGTCTGAGTTGATTCTAACAGGAGAATTAGCTCATCCCTTCCTTTGGAAGCTGCCAGCTCAGACTAGAAATTTCACAAAAACAGGCTTGAGGTTTTTTGCAGGTTTTTCCAGCAGCACAACTGCATTTTTCAGTGATATTCTCATCTAGGATCAGGAAGTGATTGGCTATGTAGCTTTTCATTTTAATCTTTCCTTTTTTCTTTTCTCATTCCTTTCCCCCCCCTTTTCTTTTTTTAAACTAACATGCAAAGATGGAAGGCTAGGGCAAAGTTTCTTTATTTTTAAACAAAATCTTAAAGCTGCCTTTTGGCTGTGTACGAAGGAAGATACAGGTGGCAGGATGATATGGGCAGGTGAAGGATATCACGGGATCTTTCAATTATCAGTATCATGGAGAATTTAGAAACAGAAAGCTCTTCCCAGAGGACTTGCTGCAGCCAGCCGTTTGAGTTCTGGGCTAAATTTACGAGACTCATGTTTATATGTCTAAGCACGTGGGAACTATTTTCCCTCTCTGGGAATGGGTGGGGCCCAAGGTTTTGCAAAGTACGGTTTGGATCTGGTGGGAGAAAAAGGATGATTCTGGAAAGTTCTAGTATCTTGTATCTTCTTTCTTTTCTTTCTCTCTCTGCGCCAGCCCTCCCCCCCACACTCTCTCGTCTCAACCTCCCCTATTACGTATCTCTCTAATGTGTGCTAGAGCCTATGTGCTTTGTTGCTGTTTTCCATTATTACCAATATAATATCTTTCTTTCAACAACAGCTCATAATCTCCCCCTTTCTCTGAGCCTCAGTTTACTTATCTATAAAATGAAGTGGTTTGGCTAGCTGGGCTCTAAGGTCTTTTCTAGTTCTAGGTCACTGATGCAATGATTCTGCCAGGCAGTGGTAATTGGAAACGTCTTTCTAGTTTTATAGATTTTGCATGTAATGGTACTCTTTGCAATGCTGGACTGCTTTTCGTTTCTTTTAGTAATATAAACTGTTTCCTTTGCCCCTTTCTGGATGAAGTGAGGCCTGGTGGCGGTTAGTCCTCTCTGTGTCATTCTGAGCTGCTTTGGCTAAATGGGGGAGGGAAGTTCTGGAGTCTATTCGGGGGCTAAGATTGCATTGCTCTGATCACTTCAATTCTTTTCCCAAAAATCTTTAAGAGCACCAATTGCCAACTAAATTAATTTGAAACACTTTAGCTTGACATTCAAAAGCCCTCCATCATATGGTTTCCATTCACATTTCCAGTCTTCAATTCCACGACCCCATTAAATGTTCCTATATGCATCCTCTACTCTAGTCAAGCACTAATGCTGGTTAATCTCCAAATATGAATTATGTTTTTCTATCTCTTCAGTTTTGCTTATGCTACTCATTTTACTTAGAATACTTCCTGTGCCCCATACTTTCCCCAGGTCTACTTCTTCTTTTTTTTTTTTTGGCTAGGCAATGGGGTTAAGTGACTTTCCCAGGGTCACACAGCTAGTAAGTGTTATGCGTCTGAGGCTGGATTTGAACTCAGGTCCTCCTGAATCCAGGGCTGGTGCTCTATCCACTGTGCCTCCTAGCTGACCCTCCCAGGTCTACTTCTTAAAGTACATCCCTAATCATGGTACTCTCTTTTTTTTTCAAGCTCTGCCTGTCAAAATCCTACCCATACTTCAAGGGGCAGCTCAAATACCATTTCTTTTATGGAACCTTTCCTGATTTTCCTGGGCTAATTGTGGTTTCCCCTTCTTCTGACATTCCAGAGTATTTATTTATATTTCCCTTGTGGTACTTTCATACTTCACCTTATATTACAATGAACATTCTTTCTGTAGTGATTGCCATTTATTCAATAAATCAGTCAGTCGACTAATACTCCATCATTTGTACAAAAGAAACCCTGGGTTCTCAGCGGCTGTCAGAGTAACACAAGCTCTAACAAACCTGACCAAATTGGTCAAGTTACAGATGGTGACGTTTGTTTTCTGAGGATCACTCAAGTGTATATCATGTTATAGTCAGTTTAAGGTAAGTAAATAGAAGATGGTCATAGATTTATATTTTAGCATGTCATCTAGTCCAACTCCCTCGTTTTATAATGAGTCACTTGAGGTGTAAGAAGGCATTTGCATGCTAAGTCGAGTTCCTAGCATAATGCCTGGTATATAGTAGGTGCTTGATAAATGTATGTTAATTGACTGTCTATAGACCATAGTGGAAGGGTGAGATTTAGAGCAGCCCAGCCCATTTTTGCTCTAATGCTTTCACATATCTCAGTCAAAGCCCAAAGCCATCATCTTGGGAAGCATTTCCCCGTGGAGATGAGCCTGGCATAAGCACCTGTAGGTATCACAGACACTGAAGACCTGGAAAATAAAATTCTTGTCACCGAAGTTCTTGGCACTCTCAAATGGTTCCACATCAGAAACGGATATCATTTTATCCATAGAAATGACATCTGCTTTACCATTGCACTTTAAGGGCCATGGGACTTTTCTGTCTGATTTTTTTCCAGCTGAAACCTTTCATATGTATTAGAGTATGAGTTTCTTGAGAACTGAGACTGTCTTATTCTCTTAGCAAAGTGCTTCGCACATAGCACATTCGCACATAGCAAGCACTTAATAAATGATTCATTCATTCATTCAATGAATCAATCAAAAGACTTTGGATTAAATGCAGAAAAGGCCTTTGAACTGGGAGGAAATAACACAAGAATCCTGGTGGATAAGCCAGAGAAGTTTGGCCCCACACTGGGGATCATCAAATTATCAAAGGAAGTTGAGAACAGATGGAATTCTAGAAATTGTAGTTGGTGTGGAATTCTAGCTGAATCCCTTGAGAAAGATATGCCTGAAGAGAGGAGCAGCCATGGGTAGGTCTCCTTTCTCTCTCCTAGATCCATTTTGACCAGAGGAGTACAAACTCTAGCTCTGAAGGGTCCAGAGGATGTTGGCCTGCCCATATTCCCATTGATGTCCTATGCAGTGCCCCTGCATCAGTTCATGGCAGTGTCTGTGTTATTGAGAGATAAGGAGAGACTGGATTCAGGGTTCTACAAGGAGGACAGAAAAGAGAAAATCTTGAGCATCTCACAAAAGGGAGAAAAGGATTTCTAGCATCCAGGAGCCATCGGTTACAGTCTCTAAACTTGATACCATTTTTCTCTGGACTCTTTATGTACCTGGGGAAGTGTATATCATAGACTTTTTTAGGGGGGATGTTTTGTACCAGCTATATTTTTTGTACTACCTTAGAAAAGATCTCTAAAAGCTGCTTAGCATTACTAAATGATTTTCAACTGATAACCTTGGGACAAAACACACCAGTTGGGGCTCAAGCTAACAGCATTAGAGAAAATCTGCTATGATTTCTCATAGGTACCCTCAGAAACCTGAGCCTAGTTCTGGGACCCCAGCTTGATAATGAGAGTAGAAGCTGGGATGAGGAACCTCAGAGCTTATATGGGTATAGATATAGAGCTACAGAAGACCTTAGAAGTTATCTAGCCCAATTCTCTCATTTTATAGATGAGGAAACTGAGGCCCAAAGAAGTTAAGTGATTTGTCCAAGGTCACACAGGTAGTAAGGGCAGAGTCAAGATTCAAACCCAGATCCTCTGATTCCAAACCCTGCATTCTTTCTACTATTGCCTCAAGACATGCACAGAAATTGGATGCTGAGAAAAGGAATGAAGGGATTACTATCCATACTGGGGAAAGGAATATATGTACCAATGAGATGACAGGTCTTGAACAAGAGGCAAATGCTGTACAATATGTCAATTTTGGTAATAATTTTAGGAATTGAAAGTCACAGTTTCACCCCTTCCTGGAAAGTGGAACAGATTAATTAGCCTGCTCATTTATACAAATGAACATGTAAGTGTCTTTCAGGTTTTCCCTTGGTATTTTTGGGTGATCATTATCCATATTGGTCTTCTAGTAATAAAGTATCTAAAATGGAAATTATTGTGTTGCTATTATCATTTTGACTTGAAATATTCTGATTATATTTCTTATAGGAGAGGCCTTACCAGCTTTGGGCATTCCCCTGCTTTGGATTGCTCATGTAGATCTACTTTAGTACCTTAGTTTAATAAAAGAGCATGAAAAAGGTTATGCATACTCCCTGAGGAGGTGAACTTGGTTTGCAAGAGTCATAATCTGTCACTGACATTTGCTGTCTCATTCAGGCTATGGGAAATCACACCTATATTCTATTAGCATAATTTCCTGAAGGCATCTAAAAATATTGGCAAGAAGGACTGCATAGCATTTCTCATTTGTTTAGGAAGAAATTTAATTAGTGACCTTAATTATATGATTTCCACTTAGGAAGTACTTGGCCTAATTTCATTTGTTTCTGTGATTCCTGCTTTAGTTTCTTTAAAGGATCTTACGTGTACAATTGTTATTGGGTGTATTCTCTCCTAGCTTGGGACCTAAACTTTATGTATGAGTGAACTGAGATGAAACATAGCCTATCCTATTTTGCTTATGTGTTAAATGATAGTCACCATTTTTTGTGACAGCATTTTTTCATACTACGTGG